TGCTGGAACAACTGTGGATACATTCCTCAGGGAGAACCTGGTGATTATATTTTTCCTTTTACCAGCGTACTTTCTCATTTGGAGAAATCTACAGCCTAACATAGTTTCCAATGGAAATCTTGTTTTCCCAATGTCAGGACTGGCTAAGCCGTGCAACAAATTGGGCTAAATTCAGTGCAACAGCTGGACTAGGTGTTATTCACAGTGGCCATTTACAGCAGGGGAGATCACTTATGGCCCCTTACTTGCCACAAGGTGGAGGTGGTGGAGGTGGTAGTCCTTATTCAGAAGGTGGTGCCTTGTATGCTCTTGGTTTAATTCATGCAAATCACGGGGAGGGTATCAAGCAGTTTCTTCGTGAGAGTCTACGTAGTACAAATGTTGAGGTACTTGTATTAGTGAACTGTATCATTCTCATTGCCACCTCGTTCTTTCCAGTAATTGGTTTCACATTTGCAACTTTTGTTGGTACAGGTTATTCAGCATGGTGCCTGCTTAGGACTTGGGTTGGCAGCTCTAGGAACCGCTGATGAAGACATTTATGATGACATTAAAAACGTCCTATATACTGACAGTGCTGTTGCGGGAGAGGCTGCTGGTATTGGTATGGGTTTATTGATGGTTGGAACTGCAAGTGAGAAGGCAAGTGAGATGCTTGCTTATGCTCATGAGACGCAACATGAGAAGATAATTAGGTAATTGACAGATAAATGCCAGATGGTGAACTATAATTTCCTGTTCTAGCTCTGATCCTATTGTTATCTGTTATATATGTGAACTTGAGAAGTTCTTTTTTAAAGGTTTAGCTTTTGTATTTTGAAGAGTATTGTGATTAAATCTCATTAATTGATATAAGGAAACAATTGGTTGTTCTATACATTTGATAGACTGAACATCAAAGTAAAGATTTAATGGCTATCTTCAGAAATCTTCCTCGAGTCTGTCTCTGTTACACTAGCCTCCTTACTTTCTTTGCAACAAATCCTGTCGATAACAAATATAAGAAAATAATTTGCCTGAGATAGTTTCCTTGTTTTAGAACCCAGTGTTTCATATCCCTGTGTCTGATTTTTCCACTTAAACCAATGTAGCATCCATTTTATTATGAATGTCGCATTTATGTAAAAAAGTAAAAAACAGGGAATGTCTGAATTGAAAGAAAATGTCCATTGCAAAGCAAATGCGCTGCAGTGGGAAATGCTGCAGACTATGTGGCTGGTGATGTAAAAGATATGCTGGCATCGTCTAAATTTCTGTTTCGAAAGAATGCCAGGAATGTCCATTGCCAATTAGCGGTGTTTGAATTTCTGGTTTGAAAGGAGACATGATAGGTTGATTTCTTTGGTCATTGTCAATTCTAAAAATTTGGCAGATATTGCCTTTTGATCATATATAGTACAATTACAAATTTAGATGCTATCACCTGTTTCAGTCACCAAGTACGACTTTTGAATGTTGTGCCTATAAATTCCACAAACATGAAAAACCATAATTTCAATTTTCAAGTTTCAATGTGAAAAAACTAGTTGTGTACTGGAATATTCTGTTCCGTTTACCCCCTAGATTTTGCTTTCACAAAGTTCATTAGCAAAAAGTTAATATATCAAACCAGAGAGGATATGGATATGTAATTAGCCTTTGGAACAATGATGAGATTTACATTGTGGTGTAAATTAAGGATGACCATTTCTCCACTCCACTATGTATGAGGCCTGAACACAATTTTCTTGAAAAAAGATTATTACAGTAGAAGAGTCAGTAGAGTACTGGAGTTGAACATTCTTTCTGATGCTACATGCAGGGGTTTAGCACTAGGTATAGCCCTTACAGTCTATGGAAGGGAAGAAGAAGCAGATACATTGATCGAGCAGATGACTAGGGATCAAGACCCTATATTGCGTTATGGTGGCATGTATGCTTTGGCATTGGCTTACAGAGGAACTGCGAATAATAAGGCTATCCGTCAGTTGCTTCATTTTGCTGTATCAGATGTTAGTGATGATGTCCGCCGGACTGCTGTATTGGCACTTGGATTTGTTATGTATTCTGAGCCTGAGCAGGTTGGTACTTTTCTGTTCATATCCGCTGCGGTGATGTCCTCTTTGTGCTGATATGCTAATATTGTTTCTTTTGAATGAATTTGCAGATGCCTCGTATTGTGTCATTGTTATCTAAGTCTTACAATCCACATGTGCGATATGGTGCGGCTATGGCAGTTGGAATTTCTTGTGCAGGTACTGGTCTGAGTGAGGCCATCTCATTGTTGGAACCTTTGACGTCAGATGTAGTTGATTTTGTACGCCAAGGTGCTCTCATAGCAATGGCCATGGTGATGGTCCAGATAAGTGAAGCCAGTGATTCCCGTGTTGGTGCCTTTAGGTATATCATCTGAAAATGCATACCACATCTTTTTTTCTATCTTTTCTCTGAGCTTGCTAGCATGCTAAGCCTTTCTTCTGTACAGGCGACAACTGGAGAAAATTGTCCTAGATAAGCATGAAGATACCATGAGTAAAATGGGTGCTATTTTGGCTTCTGGAATTCTTGATGCTGGTGGTAGAAATGTGACCATAAAATTACTTTCGAAGACAAAGCATGACAAAATTACAGCAGTCGTTGGACTGGCTGTTTTTAGTCAGTTTTGGTATTGGTACCCTCTTATATATTTTGTTAGCTTAGCATTCTCACCAACAGCCTTAATTGGTCTGAACTCTGACCTAAAAGTGCCAAAGTTTGATTTTGTATCACATGCCAAGCCCTCACTGTTTGAGTATCCTAAGCCCATCACTGTAACCACAACTACTTCTGCTGTCAAACTTCCCACAGCTGTTCTATCAACATCCGCTAGGGCCAAGGCAAGGGCTAGCAAGAAAGAGGCTGAGAAAGCCAATGTCGAGAAGGCAGCTGAAGAGTCATCTTCTGGTGCAACAAATTTGGGGAAGGGCAAGTCTACTGATAAGGATGGGGATTCCATGCAGGTTCGTATACATTTCTATCATGTAGTTTTGTTCGATGGATGCCTTAATTTAGCAAACTGTTGGACTGACGATCTGTTTTCTATGACATTGTGGACAACTGTGGATGGGTGATCTGGCATAATAGTCTGCTTCATTGTGTAGTGCATAAAACTAGCATTGAGTTTGTTCACCAAGTGTAATCTCCTTTATTGGCAGGTGGATGCTCCTGCAGAGAAGAAAAACGAACCGGAGCCATCATTTGAGATCTTAACCAACCCTGCTAGAGTAGTTCCAGCTCAGGAGAAATTCATTAAATTTTTGGAAGATAGCAGATACGTACCAGTTAAATCATCACCTTCCGGATTTGTGCTTCTGAGGGATCTACATCCTGATGAACCTGAAGTATTGTCCCTCACCGATGCACCCTCAACTGCATCCAGCACTGGTGGTGGATCAACTGGACAACAAGCCTCGGCATCAGCAATGGCTGTTGATGAGGAGCCTCATCCCCCACCTGCATTTGAGTACACATCGTGATTTATTGTAATTTAAAAGTATCACCAATTGGTTTTCATTCCATGTTGGAAGGTGTTGTTGAATGGGCAGAGGTGAAAACATATGGATTAATAGCACTTTCCATGATCAAATTGAGTCGTGAGATGCATCGAAAAGATCCCCGTGGGCTGTTTCTTGGACTTTTGATTACCCAATTTGTGCTTGTCATCGTATTTTGTGTGCTAAACGACTAAGGAAGATGGGTACTGGAAGTTTCGATTGCTCGTTATCTTTCTCTGAATCTGCCACAACTCTCCTTTCCTACATTCAGATCTTTAATTACAATTTAATTAAGATTTTATGTTGTTTGGATCTTCAAAAGAATGAAGAAAAAAAAAAGAGATGCCACTGTTCCCTAATTGTTTTCTGGATTCAATTGTTTTAAGAATTATCTATTGCAACATTCTGATAATAATGTTCTTGCTCGACTTTCAAATATGGATATGCAGCCTTAGCAATTGGTTGCTGGGATATCTAGCCTATCTCATCGCAGGATCATACTCGTAGTGGTGTAATAAGTACATTAACGAGAGATTTCAAGTTCGAGTCATTGTGATATTACTTTTGGTAAAGCTTTTTGCTCATGGTTCTTGGATGTTGAGTCACAAGTTTGTAAAATTTTCATTTCATCATTCAATGAAAAAGCTCCAACAGAGCATGTAAAGTTCAAAAATCTTAACGGTATCACATGTAACATAAGCATCCAATTAAAGAGATTTTTTAGTCAAACATAAAGGCATCTAGGCTGCAAATTTAAAGGTACTCACATGCATGATATATAATTAAACCAATCTCAAATATTCAATTCAAATTATTTTAAAAAGAAATCCACTCATTTTAATTCATAATAAAATCATATAACAAGGTGTTTAAGTATTTATTAAAAACTCGTGCAAAGAGGTGGTAAAGTTAGCTCTACTTGTGATTCAAATAAATAATATGTTAAAGGGCGGTGAAGTGAATATTCATGAAGTGTAAATTAATCCATTGGCTCCTCTCCTCTCCTCTTTTTTCAAATCTTAATAATTTAAGATCGATATATATAAATTAAACTCTACATATTCAAGTACCTTATTTTATTTTTGTGTATATATATATTGGAAGCAAAATGCAGCCAAAAAGTCAAAGGCAACATCTAGCAGGACACACTGGTCCATCATTTCTGAGATAATCTTATCAAACCTTTCAACACCATATATACATCTTTAATGGTTTGTCTTATTAATTTTTTGTTTTTGTTTTTTCCATTTAAGAAATTTCAAAATTTTATTTTCTCACAATATTGTCATGATAGTTTGTTGCTGAATTTGTCAGGTTTCTAGAGGTGGACCCAAGGATTGATACTAATTTGTGTACCATTTAGTAATTAATATTTTTAGTATTAAAAAAAATATGGAGAAAAAAGAAAAAAAAACAGGTATATATATCCACACACAAACATCTATATATATATTGGTTTATGTTTTTTATCCTATACTTATTTTCACTATGTTGTCTAATTTTGAACATGAAATATTATTGCAGCCTTCTTTGCCTACAATTTTTCCAAGTCTAAATGATGATAATTACTACTCTCTTGATGATGATTCTTATAATTGTCATAATTATCAACATCCACAAATGGTTAATAATGAAGAAGAAAAGGCCTTGATGGTGTCACAAAAAGAAGAGGAAATTAATGTGACATTTGTTGGTGAAAATAGCAAAGCAAATGAAAGCAAGAAGAAGAGAAAAAGAACAAAAATAAGAATGAAGAGTAGTGAGGAAGTTGAGAATCAAAGAATGACACATATTGAAGTGGAGAGGAATAGAAGAAAGCAAATGAATGAACATCTTCATGTGTTGAGGTCACTCATGCCAAGCTCATATGTACAAAGGGTATTAATGTCAATTCTCTAAATTTATATCACATTTTTTTCTGTCTTTATAGTCTGTTTTAAAAAGAATGACCTGACTTTTTCAATATATGAAAACTCTTTTTAAGTTTAATTTTCCATTTCACATATGTATAAAGGGTATTAAATTCCATTCTCCAAATTTATATCACATTTTTTATCTCTTCAGTCTGATCTGATAAGAATGAAACATTTTTCTATATTCATCAAAACTTTGTAAGTTTAATTTTTCCATTTCACAAACGAATAAACGGTATTATATTAAATTTTCTAAATTTATATCACATTTTTTTCGTTTTTATAATCTGTTTAAAAAAGAATGACATTTTTTCTATATACATGAAAACTCTTTTAAGTTTAATTTTTCCATTTCACCTATGTTTAACACCAAAAGTTCAAAGAGTACTAAAAACGCCTATGTAAAAAGTCTGTCTTTCTTTCTTAATTGAACCTAATTTGTGCTCAGTCATAAGTCAACACTACTAAAAACTCGAATTTCCAACTGAATGTCTATTAGAAATTCATGTTTTTTTAATAGTGCATATATTGTCATATAAAATGAAACGAAATTAAAAAGAATTATATTACATTGATTAAAATGAATTTTTTTGACATTGATTCTTTTTGGAAAATTTGTAGGGTGATCAAGCTTCAATTGTTGGTGGAGCAATAGAATTTGTAAGAGAATTGGAACAACTTTTACAATGTCTTGAATCACAAAAAAGAAGAAAACTCTATGGAGATCATCAAGATTCATCATTAATGGAAATTCAAAATCCATCTAATTTAGTATTTGCTCCTAATAATAATGAAATTGGAATTATTCAAGAAGATATAGCTGAGATTAAGTCAATTTTGGCTGATGTTGAAGTGAAGATTATTGGTATTGATAATGCTATGATCAAGATTTTATCAAAAAGAAGGCCAGGACAACTCATTAACACTATTTCTGCATTACAAGATTTGCAACTTAACATTATTCATACAAATGTTACAACAATTGAACATACTGTTTTGTATACTTTCAATGTTAAGGTACGTTTCCGTTGAACTATGTGACTATCTTATCTAAGATACATATAGGATGCATTTTTATTTACTTAAAAGTAGTGATGCAGTTAGAATTTTCGTCAAAGTAGATTCAACATCTACTACACTGTAAGTTTCTGTTGAAGTGGATTCAGATGAACCCTCTTACCCTTGTGGTCCTACCTAGCTCCGTACGTCCTTGCTTAAAAGTTTAGTAACGAAGTGATTTTTTGGTATGTGTATTTCAATTTTTTTTACCTTTATATGTAGTATAATTTTATATATACGCGATATAATTGACCATCATTCAGTTGTTTTAACTGTTTATAGACCAAGCTGACGTGCAATAACAATCAATAGGTAACTCTTTTGTGCTAGACGATATAGTAATCTGTTATAATCAGTTAAATTATATCGATAGTGTAAGATTTTCTTGTTAATGTATATAACTTAAATTCTTGATGGGATTATTTCATCTTTTTTTTTTTTGTATTTATTTGTGCAGATTTGTGGTGAAACAAGGTTTTCAGCTGATAATATAGCAAATTTGGTCCAGCAAATATTCAGTTTTTTTCATGCAAATAGTGCCATATGAAGTAAAACTAGTGGAGGCCAGCTGCCTAATTTATTACTAGTATTTTGTATACTTATATCATATAGTAATTAAATCTTGTTTAATTTTGGAGTTGAAATCTTAGTAAATACTCCTTACATAAATCAAATTCAAATTTCTGCATAATTAATTCATGTTATGGAGTTATGAACTCCTTGTGATTGATTAAATCATATTTTGATGGCAATTGTCACCATATATATGTTCTCTCTATTTCTATTTCATATTTCATATACAAAGCACGTGTTCTTAACAAAATTTTGATTTCTCAAATAAAATGAGATATTATTTCTTTCAGTAATGAACTTCCTTTAATTCGTAAGTCATCGTAATCCTAATTAGCCTTAGATGACTATCGCTCGTGCGAAATTCGTCTAGTATACTTTTACATCATATAGTAATCAATGAGCATGATAATGAAAGTTTTTATAAATATAAACACATTTAATACGTCGAAATTCATTATCTATCTATTAAAAAAAAGGTGTGTTGCGTAGTGTTTAACAAAATGGATAAATATCATAGGAAATAGTTTAAGCTTCTAAAAAACAAAAAACTACTAAGTACTACTTCCTCCGTCTCATATTATATGTCGCCTCTTTCTAAATATAGTTGGACCACAATATATGTCATTTTATAAAATTTATGCATAAATTACCATTTTTTGCCCATTATATCCTTGATAAATTAATTAATCAATCTTGAAAATATATTTACTTTGACTAACCTAGGAAATCTACAAGTAATTAATTTCATTGGGAGAGTATTTCATTCATTAATTAACTACTTTCTTTATTCACTACTTATTCTATAAAATCTGATTTTGAAAAAAAATATCAATAAACAAATTTTTAAAAAAAGATGAAAAAAAATTCAAAAATAACCTTGAAAGTTGAAGCTTCAACAAATTTTATCAAGGAAGATGACATTTCAAAAAGTTCAAAGGAAAATTTAGATCAATTTGAAGTAATGGAATTTGAATATTTTGTAATGTTGTCATGTTTGCTTTAAGAATTTATATATAAAAATGTAAAAAAATATTTTACACAAAATATATAGGAAAATTGAGGTGGGAAAAACTTGATTTTTAAATTTTTTTGGATCAATTGGTGAAAAAACTTGGCTCCAAAAATAAACTATAAAATTTAAATAGTCATCCAAATGCATTTCTATTTTTGAAATCTAACATTTCATCATTTATTACAAAGTTGTCATAAGTAAACATTAAATAAGGGCATAAGGGTAAAATTACCTTATTTCTTAATGCAAGTGCAAATGGAAAAGGTGACATATAATATGGGACGAAGGGAGTATTTCTTTTCACTTGTCCAATTTTTGGTAGACAAAATTGTTTGTTATTTACTCCATCAGTCCCTAATTACTTGTCCACTTTTGAATTGACATACATATTAAGAAAACAATTAATGACATTGTGAGTTTACCATTTTATCCCTATTAATTATGAAGTGGATGAAAACTTCTACATTTTTCAAAGTAATTAGTCATTTAATTGAGGGTATAATAGGTAAAAAAAATTATCCTTTCTTGATTTGTCAAAATGGACAAGTAACTAAGAACAACTATAAAAGAAAAAGTGGACAAGTAATTAGGAACGAAGGGAATATGTAGGTGAGAGATAATAAGTTCGCAGAACAATTAAAGTGTATGTCATCTAGTCAAGCATCATGATTATCTCCCAAAAAGATAATTTTGACATATATTTATTTAACCATTTAGTATATATAAAATTTACAATACCAACTAATCTAGATTCAACCTACATTAGGCTCACTTTCACTTAATAGGGAATCACTTTAAAAAATTTCATTCTCAAAATTTGAATCTGTGATACGTGATTAATATATGATAAATTCATTAAATCCATTCCATTGAGGGGTGTTTTCATTTATTTTTTTAGTTTCCCATCGATGTTCAGTACCTGCATAGAACCTATTTGAAGCGCGTTTTATTTTCAGAGATAGACTATTAAAAAGACAAGAAAAGAAAAATACAATTACAAAGGTTGCTATCAACATAAAATTTCTGGAGAGAAATGCTATAAAAGGGATAATATCTATCTATAGTTGTGGTGTTTATTTGATAAAAATAAATAAATGGATTGAAATTGAGAGGTTTATTTTTTATTTTTTAATTTTATTTTGTGCCAATTATATATATTAAGGTCAACCTACATGCACTGCCAAATTGTACCTTGTTTTCAGAGGGAAATTTGACTTTGTCAGGATTAAATCTTGGAAGTATTTGACTCCTTTAATATTTGTAGGGTCAACTGTCCTAAGAATTTGGATTGGTCTTTTTTATTTATTTTTTTGGGATTTTTAGATAGTTTTTTTAAATATATAGTTTTGTCATGTTTTGTAGGTTTTGATAATTCATGCGCGCATGCTAAAGAATGGCATGTGGGGTTTTGGATTTTCACAATCATTTGTTTTTCATAAATGCAAAAATCAAAATACAATTTCGCTAGTTAGAAAGATATTTGTAAATGTGTAGTTATCTTATTGATTAATTTTACTTGTATGGTGTAGGTGTTTTATAATTTTTTTAAAAAAAGTAAATTTGTTGATGAAATTTAGTATGAGACTGAGAATCCTGATAAAAAAACGTTGATGAACTATTCATGTGGGTGAGACTTGAGTGTCGTCACAATCGAAACACAATGACGCTATTATCAGGGATGCTTTACCATTGAGCATTAGCAAGAGCTTGCCAATGGAGGTTGGCTATGCCTTTTGTTGTTTGGACTTCAAGAATGTTAATGGATATGTGTACGTTATATAAAAATAGTGTATTTTAAAAGAATTTGACATGGATGTGATATTGAAAGTGAAGAATTTGCGCAACTTAAACTATACCACACGAGATTTTGGAGGTGGGGGTAGCGTAAAAAGATGACAGTATCAACTTGTTCTGACCTAAGATAATAATTAAGCCTCGTCATACTTTACATTCAAAAGAAAGTTTAAACTTTCATAAGTACATAATTTTGAGTGTGACAAAACAAACAAAGAAACTAAACAATATAATGACAACATGACTTGTAATCTATTCTACAAGTATATTATATAATATGATATCGTTCTATTTAACTTCAGCCTACATAATTAATTTTTCTCAAAAGACCTCGGATCATTAATAGTACTCGCACACCTAACATTAATAGAAAAATACAATATAGTTGAATAGGTGGTCCTGTACATAAAAAAGTAGCTCCTTGTTATACTGATGAAAACATATGGTAGCAATTAATAATACTTTCACAAAAGACCAAACCATAAAATTATGTTTTGTGTCTTTTTTTGACAAATTTGTTCATAAAAAAGGTCAACTGGACAAAACACTGTCCTATAACACACTCCTATAAAAGACTTCCTCGCTATTCATTATTTCAGAAATAAATTTTCATTTTGACATATTGAGATTTATGTTTAACATTAATTACTTATTCTCTAAATTATTTCTCAAGATCTAAGACTATACATCAATTTAATATTGACATTGTGGTAAAATATTTATATTAATCATTATTTATTAAAGAACGTAGAAAGTCCAAAATGATCAAGTAAAAGTGAATGGAGGGAGTATTATATTCTTATTATTACTCAAGCATTTGACTTATATAATTATTCGAATAATAATATAATGTAGCTTCGTACATTTAATATTTATTCTCCTTTTGTGTTATTGTTGTAGTAATTATAATTATCTAACTTCATTATTAGTTTTGAGAGTCAACGTTAAATGAAGTTTGACTTAAAAAAGAACAACTCAAAATCATATTAAGAATGGACAAATTTCATTGGTGGGATGATTAAGGAAAAGTGTATAGCTAATGTATACTTTATACTAAATATACATATAGCGGAAGAGGGGCGCAGTTCAACCAACAGAGACTTTTTGTTGGGTTTAGCAAGGTGTGAATGAGAAATAAAAAAGAGAAAATGGAAGAACCAATGAAAGTGGGGGAACCAATTTTGGAGGGAAAATGAAAAGTCATTGCAAAAGTGCAAATGAAAGGTCATTTTTATCATATTAGTAGAAGAAAGGAAATTGTTGTCCTTATATTAGGAAACACTTCATTTAGTTCTTAAAGGGTTAAGAAGAAGGTGCCCCTCGCTCGGCCTCGGCCTCAACTTCGGCTTTGGAGTTGGATTTGGCAAATGATGTGATTGATTGATAATATTTTTGGACAAAATTTATTTAATCAATCTTGTTAAATCATTTCCTTTCTCTTATAAATTAATTCAAAATGTTAATTAAATAACAGAATTAATTTGGCGCAACTGAATTTATTTGAAATTCACGTGTAACGGTAATCCTTTCGAAAAGTCGTTACTTTTTCCAAACGGTAATCCTTCCGAAAAGTCGTTACTTTTCCCAAAGGACACAATGTTCTGGAAAAAACGGGTCTGAACAGATACGTTCCTTGCTGCAAATGGCTATAAATAAGAGGTCTTTTTCATTTTTTCAAACACTGAAAATTTTTCCTCTCTGCATACATATTCTTATATAAATAAAATTGTCGATCGACTGAGTCTGTGTGTACTCTTGTTACTGTTCTTGCGTTCGCTGAAGTTATTGAAGTTTGAGGTACCGCTACTTCTTTAACAGTTTAATCCGTTTTATCTTGGGAGGAATTAATCTGCAACCTCGGGTACAGTGAAGGGAATAAATTTCTTAAGGAAACACAGTGGTTTCTGTGGACTCGGATTAAAAATCATTCTGTCTATTTCATCTTTTTTTTATTTCTGGATTTTTGACTAATCTGAATACAGGAGATAACAATCTTAAGAAATTTAATAGTTTCTGTATTTGAGGTTTCTGGAGATTAAAATCTTTATGGTTTTCTACTCTGTTTGAATTTTTAAAATTCATTCAGTTAATGATTAAAAGAACATAAAAACTTTATTGTTAAATCAGAAACAGTCTGTGTAAGAATTTATTCTTTACTGGTAGTATTTCACATACTAAATTGTCTGCCATTTGTGACAGAAAAATGACTAATTCAAGTCAAGTAAATGTTGGAACAGTAAGTGATGCAACAACATCGGTTGCACATAATCGTTCAAATGCTGCCCTAG